TCTAAGGGAACTTATCAGAAAAGAAAGAGTTGATATGATTTTCATACAGGAATCTAAGCTTGAGGTATGTGATGAAAGAGTTCTGAAAGCTATATGGGGTGGTGATAATTTCAAATGGGTAGCAAAACCAGCCCAAGGGAGATCTGGAGGTATCATTTGCATATGGTGTCCAGGTATGTTTGAAGTAAATAAAGAATTGTCAGGAATAAGTTTCTGTGGTGTGTTTGGGTTTTGGGGGAGGGAAAAAATTCCTTGTTATTTCATAAATGTGTATGCTCCATGTGATAACCAAGGCAAACGTGTTCTGTGGAGAGAATTGATAGATTTAATGACAATATGTGGAGAAGGAAATTGGTGCATTGCTGGTGACTTTAATGCAATTCGAAGTAGAGAGGAAAAGAAAGGAAGATGTTTTGATGAGGGTGCAATGAGGGAGTTCAGTAACTTTATATGTGAAACAGGGCTTGAAGATATGCCATTGATAGGAAGAAAGTTTACCTGGTACAAGGTAGATGGCACAGCTATGAGTAGACTTGACAGGTTCCTGGTGTCAACAGACTTCTTGATTAATTTCCCAGAGCTTACTCAAAAAGGCCTTATGAGAGATCTTTCGGATCACAGTCCAATTATGTTAGTAAATTCCTCCAAGGACTGGGGTCCTAGACCTTTCCGAAGCCTAGATTGCTGGATGGAACACAAAGAGTTTAAGGCATTCATCCAGGAGAAGTGGAACAACTACAGTATTAATGGATGGGGTGGGTTCAGATTAAAAGAGAAATTGAAAAGGTTGAAGAATGATCTCAAGAAGTGGAACAGGGAGGTGTTTGGACATGTTGATAAAAAAATTGAAGAGGCCCTAATTAAGATTAAGAGATTGGATGAGAAAGTGGACTCAAGGGACTTAACAAAAATTGAAATAGAAAAGAGAAAGGCTTGTTTTCAGGAAGTTTGGGAATGGAGCAGAGCTCGAGATAGTATATTGTTTCAAAAGTCAAGACAGAAATGGCTACAAGAAGGAGATGCTAACAGCAAGTACTTCCATGGTTGCATCATTCGAAGGAGGAAGCTGAATGGCTTAAATGGAATCAGAAAGAACAACGAATGGATTAAGGACATCCCTGAGGTAAAAGGCTTCATCAAGGAGTATTTTGAGAGAAAGTTCGATGAGGAGGAATGGGATAGACCAGATATAGAATTGAAGAATCTCAACCAGTTATGTATAGAGGAAAACAACAGTTTGATCTCAGAATTTTCGGAAGAAGAAATCTATGAGGCGATTCAATGCTGCAATGGGAATAAAAGCCCAGGTTCAGATGGTTTTAATTTTGCATTCATCAAGAATATGTGGCCAATCCTAAAAGAAGACATTGTTGCCTTCGCCAAAGAGTTTTGGGCGAATGGAAAACTTGTAAAGGGAAGTAACGCATCCTTCATCGTACTAATTACGAAAAAGGAGAATCCTCAAGGACTTGGAGAATTCAAGCCCATCTCCCTCATTGGGTGTATGTACAAGATTATCTCCAAGATTTTGGCTAATAGGTTGAGCAAAGTGTTGCCATCAATCATAAATTTGAACCAATCTGCATTCATTGGAGGAAGACAAATTGCTGATGGGATTGTGGTTGCAAATGAAGTGATCCATGAGGCAAAAAGGCGAAAAAGATCGACCCTGATATTCAAAGCTGATTTTGAAAAAGCATATGATAGTGTTAATTGGGAATTTTTGAATAGAATGATGGAAAAGTTTGGTTTCTGCAGAAAATGGAGGATGTGGATTAGAGAATGTTTATCTACTGCAACTGTTTCAGTGTTAGTGAATGGCAGCCCCACAAAAGAGTTTCACATGAAGAAGGGACTACGACAAGGTGATCCTCTAGCCCCATTCTTATTTTTGCTTGTCGCTGAAGCCTTGAATGGGTTAATTCTTAAAGCAAAGGAGGAGAATCTATACAAAGGTGCAGTGGTGGGTGCAGAAAAGATGGAGATTACTCACCTCCAGTTTGCGGATGACTCAATTTTCTTTTGTGAAGCATTGGAACAAAATGTCCAAACTATCAAGTGTGTGTTGCGATGCTTCGAGTTAATATCAGGCCTCAAGGTGAATTATTTCAAAAGTGCACTGTATGGAATTAGTGTGGAGACTCAAAAGGTCAATGAATGGGCTGAAAAACTGAATTGTGTAGGAGGTGTGATGCCATTTAAGTATCTGGGAATCCCAGTGGGCGCTAACCCGAGGAGGATATCAACTTGGATGCTTGTTGTTGATTGCTTAAGAAGGAAATTGTCAAGCTGGAAATGTGAATCGCTGTCCTTTGGTGGAAGAATTATCCTCTTGAATGCTGTCCTATCAAGTATCCCAGTTTATTTCTTCTCAACCCTAAGAGCCCCTAAAAAGGTTTTAAAACTTCTTTCTTTAATCCAAAGGAGATTTATGTGGGGAGGTGCTGAAGACAAGAGAACAATAGCTTGGGTTAGGTGGGACCAAGTTTGTAAAAGTAGGAAAATGGGAGGGCTAGGTGTCAAGGACCTCAATAGTTTCAACTTGGCATTGCTAGGTAAATGGCGTTGGAGACTACTATGGGAGAGGGACGCTTTATGGAATAGGGTAGTGGAAGCCAAGTATCAAGTACATAAAAAAAGAGATTATGAGGGTGAGGATGTGAAAGCAAGTAGTTCCGAGTGGTGGAAGGCAATATGGAGATTAGATAGGGAGATAGTGTCTAAAGAAGGATGGATACAAACGGGTCTTGAAAAGGTCTTAGGGGAAGGCAATGACACTTCATTTTGGTTAGAGAATTGGTGTGGGGAGGTCTCCTTCAAGGAGAAATTCAACAGGCTATTTAGATTGGCTGAAAATAAGGACAACGTAGTGAAAGATTTGGGGGAATGGAG